AGGCACAAAATCACTTTCCAGGACATTTTCGTTCACCATTCCTGGCTGGTGGAATGATCCTCCCACCCCTGTCTGGAATGCTGAATCCCTGACAATTTTCAAGCGACAGCTGAAAACTCCTTTCTTTTGACACTATTTGACTTCATCCTAAATTGAAAAAAAAAAAGTATTCTCTTTATTTATTCCTTCCCTTTCTAGCTTGTATTTATTTGAACAATGCCTAAAACTTGGTATCACAAGCACTTCCTGTGTCAGTTGGCCTCTTTAAGAAGAATTGCTTTATGCATTCCCCAACTTGGTATTACGAGCACTTCCTGTGTCTGTTTACCTCTTTAACCCTCTGGGGTCGGAGCCCGCACTGGTGCGGTCTGTCTCGTATTTTCTTGAGGACTGCAAAAAGAACTAAAAATACTCCGCCATTTTTGATCGTACAGATGTCTACTATTATTTGTGTATAGTCATAATAACAACAAAATAACGAGCTTCTGTAAAATAAAGAAAATAAACAGGGTGCATTCTCTGCAGTCTCGGTCTCTGTCACCTCTCTTCACAGACACGTAAATAAAACAACCTGAATCTCAGCGAATACTCGCCTCAAAGACATGAGCAATATGTGTATAGAAAGCTTCAAATGTCTACTTTTAAATGAAGTAAAACAAATATTCTCTGTTAAAGTCATCCGTATGAAACCAACGCGATGTCCAGTTTTTCCCGTCTCAACTCATTATCTCTAATGCGATCATGCCCACGAGATGTAAACGCCCATCACCTCTGTAAACAAACGTGAAGAGTTCATTCCGGCTACTTTTTTTTTCTGGAAGAAGACGCACTGAGAGGAATAACCCAGAATTACCTCAGAAGAAGAACACAACGCGATGTGTTGCGCAGCTAGATCCAGTGGAGGGTATCATTCTGATGAGTAGCCTAAGATTACTTGCATCTGTTGTTATTGTGACATAACTTGTGCACATTTTACTAGTTAGACTTTTCTAATTCCTGACTACATGTTTGAAATCAAGTGAAACATTTTGAAATATGTGAAGACTTTTCCCAAACTATAATTCCTGACTACTTGTATGAAATCATGTGAAACATTTTGAAATATGTCATTTCATTGTCTAAATGTCTCACAATGCCAGGATGTTTGTAGAATTTTTAAGTTTTAGATTAAGATATAAAAACACTATGAATGAATGTTTGGCACAAAGGTGTGTCACTGTTCAAGTCTCAGTGTTCAGATCAGTATGTTCAATCATGTGTCCTTGACCTTCACTGTGTTTATTTTTATTATACTTTGTTGTAAATAAAATACAAATAATAATCAAAATCCCACTTTATTTTACTCTCCTCACAATCTTTCTTACCCGCCTCAGTCACTTTCATATTGATGGCCCATTATGGGAGACCCTTTGTCTCTCAGGTATGAATCACTAAATATTCATGGCCATTGTCACTCCCTCGCATAAGGGCATTCTATCACAAAACATGTTTTACAAATGTTAAATCAATATATTGTTTTCTGTGAATGAGTGAACAGGATAATTTTCACATAATTTTGTAGCAAAAAGTCTTGTGAACAAATATTCTGTATGTGTTTTATGGCCTTATTTCAGTGACTAAACACAAACATGTACTTTCATGCTGCTCACATATTATTGTAGCCCAGTTTGTGCTAATTAAAGTGTAATAAGACTTCAGCCATTAATATGCTTTTAAGATACTGATAAAAACACAAATGTCAGGGCATGTCAAAACTTCTCCAGGGCCCCAAAACAACTTCAGACCCCAGAGGGTTAAGATGAATCGCTTGATGTATTTGAATAAGATCATCGCTTTGGATAAAAGCATCTGCACAATGAATAAATTTACATGTAATGTAGACCAGTATCTCTGCTTATTTATCTCAAATAATAATTTATCACATTTCTTAAGAGTTAATTATCATTATTATACTTTTTAAAATATATCAAGGTGGCAGTGGCACCTATCTCTGTTGTTTGATTTTTTTTCTTTCTCTGCTTATATTTAAATATTAATTTGTCTGTATAATGAGTGTGTTGTAGGTCTGTGTTTTATTGGTTGTTTTCTTCCCTTTTCCCACCCTCTTCACTCCTACTTTTCCACAGCTTTACACGCCCATTTCTTGAGTTTTATTTATTTATTTCAAATCTGAGTTGTGAACTACCAGTGCTGAAACAGGGGTTTCATTACACTTTAAGATAAAAACACTACCTTTGTGGAGAGGGGGTTAACATTAACACACAGTAACCCCCATGCAGGAACTGCTTTGGTCTCCTTCGAGCTTATCATTTGTGGAAGGCAGGATAAGGAGCATCTCGTTCATCAAAGACTGATCCAATCACCATGTGGTCTTTCACTGATCACAGTTCTTCATTCTTGAGACCTAAGTGTGAACAATCACTCGCTATTGGTTGTTTTCTTCCCTTTTCCCACCCTCTTCACTCCTACTTTTCCACAGCTTTACACGCCCATTTCTTGAGTTTTATTTATTTATTTCAAATCTGAGTTGTGAACTACCAGTGCTGAAACAGGGGTTTCATTACACTTTAAGATAAAAACACTACCTTTGTGGAGAGGGGGTTAACATTAACACACAGTAACCCCCATGCAGGAACTGCTTTGGTCTCCTTCGAGCTTATCATTTGTGGAAGGCAGGATAAGGAGCATCTCGTTCATCAAAGACTGATCCAATCACCATGTGGTCTTTCACTGATCACAGTTCTTCATTCTTGAGACCTAAGTGTGAACAATCACTCGCTACCGCAGACTGACCAAACAAGTGTTAAGCCACAAGGGAAGGACACATCTTCACATGCGGTCACACAAAATGGACACAAAATTGACTAAACCTTCCTCACATCCATGTACAGAACTGTATATACTTAATGAGTGCTGTGTGTGATACAACAATGTATACAACATTACCTATTAAGTTATATACCATATATATGAATGCATGGGTCAATGCTCAGCATCTTCATATTTTCAGCACAATGTGTAGGTTAATCTGTAATTGGTTTGGAAAGTGAATAATGCATAGGAAAGACTTTAAAGACATTGTTCCAAATGTGGACTTTAAGCTATGCAAATAGACCTCATGCAAGAGATACCATAGCCACCTCTGACAGCATCAGCCAATCAGAATGCTGGATCTGAAAGGTGCCAACTTGCAAAATGTTCTCTTCAAGACACAGCTCTTGGCTTAGCAGTAGACCACACCACTTCTAAGTTGCTAAGGTAAGTTGCTCTACCAGAGAAACGAGGAAGTTCTGCAAGAAGCGAGTTTGGGGAGTTTTGAAACAGCAACAACGACCACAAGCTTAGTACCCCCCCATCTTCTGCAACAGCTTCTGAAACTTTTCAGTGATATGCAGTTTGCAAGTTCCAAACTGTTAGGATCTTCTCCAGCAACGATGAGCGATCCTTTCTCCTGCACGTTCCAGGAGTTCATAATTCACCAGTGCTTTGTGTTCAAGAGTGAACTGGCCCAGGTCAACAAGTGGAAGACCTCGCCGCCCAGACGTATAACATAAATATATCACTCTTTCCAGAGACCATTGGCATTAGTGTGTATTGTCAGTTTATGATCTAATTTGCATTAGATTCTATATAACTGATGTCAGTTAATAACAAATAATCTCTTGATTTATTTGTTGAATCTAGAATAAGGTTTACCTTATTACTTCCTGGAATCTCGGTTTATCTTTCCATAAGATAACATCCATAGTAACATCCAACTCAGTCACTTGCATTTATCAATCTTTTGCACTTTATCCATTCATTGTATCCATTTAGTAGTTGTTAGTTACTCTTGTCTATCCCTTTGTTAATAAAACCCCTTTAATTACACTTGTGTCTTCCTTGTAGAGCCTTTTTTACTGTATTATCAACACAACAAGTTAATGATATCCTACAAATCCTTCAGATTGGTCAGACTACAACTTCCTATAATTTAAATGTAATTCTTATTTATTCAACAATCTTCCATGATTGTTCTTTATTGTCAAGGTGCAATTCCTTGGCTGGTTCCCCGTAAAATAGTATGACCAAAACTAAATATTAATATTAACATTTAAGCCCAAAGCCATTACACTGGTGGTGCTAATTAAATCTAAACTTACTAAATTTAGTGGTGCACTGTGTGAGGCTATCGAACATCTGATATCACTCAGTGTGTGTGTGTGTGTGTGTGTTTGTGTGTTGTCACTATTCATTGCTATGTGTGTGCACTTGGATGGGTAAAATGCAGACCACATACTTGCCTACACATCACGTCATGTCATAAGTTTATTGCCACTAAAGTGATAACACTAGACATCCCTTTATCATAAACATTTAAATAATTTTAATTAAAACAATATTAAGTTTGACAGCCTGATAATACGAAATGTAAAATAAAAACAAAAAATCGAAAATAGAATAGAAAAAAATAGCCATTTTTCAGATCTCATGACCCGTAGATGGCACTGTTCCCAGCTTTTCCATGTACCCTCAGATCATGGTACTCATGAAGTGTACAGTTTTAATGAGAGTAATCAAGTGTATAGAAGTTATAACCATTTGAAAAGTAAATTTTTGTACTGGTGGTGGCACTATAGAGTTTGGCCAAATTTCATCATTTTCCTATTTACAGTTCATCTTTGAAATTACATCAGATGGCACTCTTCTGTGAATGAATGCATGAATGAAACATTTATTTAAAATAATGTCTGGAATTGTGTATGGTCTACACTACGTAAACCATAAACAATTCCAGACATTATTTTAAACAAAAAAAAGAGCTCTCCGGAATGCAGCATTCTAATAGAAATTAATTCACAAATACTGGTTTGTGAAATAAAGTCTTTGAGTCTGAGATCAACTAAACTTCACAGAATATGTTATCTAAGGAACAAAAATTAATTGTCAAATTTCAAAACCAATATATATATATATATATATATATATATATATATTTCTTTTCATTATTACTTGTTCCATTAAATGTATTTATTCAAACTGTCAAAAGCATCCTGTTTTGAGTGTGTTCTCCATTCATCTGGGATCTCACCCTTCCCCTCAAATGTATTATTGTAATATTTTTCCAGATCTTTCTGGAATCTGCACACAAACCACTTCCAGTAGGGTGGTTCAGAGAGGTCAGGTGTGATGCTCCAGTCTGCATAAACTCCTCCTGCTCTTCTGTAATCTCTCCAGAGGACTGGCTTGTCTGACAAATTAGGACAAAAAGATTGTATGCTGCTCGCTACTGCAGATGTGCATATTTGAGTAGAAAAGTGTGTTGTTTTGTAGTGACACCACCCTCTTAGTCCTGTAACACGATGGAAAGGAACACTGTGATCTCCACCATGGTTTTCTATGGTGTTGGTACAGATGGCTTTACAGAACGGACACTGAACCCAACAGCACTGACAGAGGTGATCAATCAGAAGCTCATCTGGTCTGAATTTAAAGTCCAGCTTTACTGGAAATGTCTTTGTGTTGAATCTACTGCTGATGTCAGACATTATATCAGTAAGTTCTTGTCTTATCACATCTTCGAGGAGGTTGAAATCATCAACATCGTCATGTTTGACTCCACTGAGGTCTTTTTCAGAGAAGATCAGCACATCTGAGAGCTGCTGTGTGAAACTCTTCAACCACAAACCAGCATCTCCTCTCTTCACTTGAACATGTTTAGTAGATTCATGAGCTGCTTTCATGATCTTCTGCTGCAGGAGTTTAATGTTCTCCTCCATCTTGGGTAAAACATTGACACTGAACTGATCAGTGATGTACCGACTGACTTCATCTCTGATGAAACTCTTGAAGTGATCTCTGGGATTACGAATGTAGTTCATGTATTTGTCAAAATCCTCCTCTTCTGCCAGTGTCTTCAGGATGTGTTTCTCCAGATTTGATCTGCTTCCATTCAGCGATTCACAGTTTGATCTAATTTCATCTGTCAGATCTCTAGCAGTCTTCTCATAGACACTCTGCTCAATGGGATCTTTCAGTTTCTGACAGATGATCTCACCAAAAATAGCAGCTGATGTTGCTCCATTACAGTATTTTTGGAAAATACTATAGAACTCTTCTCTCTTCTTCTCCAAATATATTACAGGATCATTTCTGTCCCTGAACAGTCTGTGTTGTTCTGTGATCATTGTGTTTGTTCTTTTACAGAGTGAAAAAAACAAATTAATGAAGAACTCTTTCTTGAAGACATATTTTGCTGATTCTTCCTGATGTTCTGTTACTCTCTTCCTGATGTAATCTATGAGTTGTTGAATGTAGCTGATGTTGTAGCCCATCTTTGAAATATTAAATGACTGAATCATTTTGTTTGTTTGCTGAGCAACATCTGTGACTAATGATCTTATCTGAGCTTCATCATCTGGAGACAGAGTTTGAGCAAATCCATGTGGTTCTTTAACTCTTTGTGCAGACTTTATGAAAATAACATATTCAGAGTAACTGAGCACAGGGAAAATATCATTGTATTCGCTGCCTTCTTTCCAGAGGTCAACAGGGAGAATTCCCCGATGAATGTCATTAAGAAGTCTTTTCACATCCCTCATTGTGTCAATGTCTTTGATTATAGGAGTGTCTGTGATGATCTTCTTCACACTCTGTTCCCAAAACAAATCAAACTCTTTCTTCAGTGTTTCGTCATCATTTGTTTTGTCTTTGAGTTTTAAGGCAACTTCTTTGCTCTTTTCATAGAGAGTGTTTATATGATGTGTACTCTGAGCATCAATCTTTTTCTTCAGGTCTTGCTGCTGAAGAATCTCATTTAATTTTCTCTTAGTTTCGCTCACAATGTTTTCCTGAAGCTCTTTGATTTTGAGGTCAAATGATGTTTTCCATTGAATCAGTATATCTTTATCTTTGTCTTTCTTAAAGAATTCAGACACTGATTTTTTTACTTCTTCACTTGTCTTCTTCAGTTCTCTTAGAAGATCAGTTTCCTCAACCTCATGAATTGTTTCATTTTCTATTTTGTTGTGTAGTTTGTTCTCAGTTTCCAACATGGCTTTGTGAAGACTCCAGGACCACTTGCTGTATTCGGTCTCCAGTTTCCTGTAAGCTGAAATCTCCAGAGAATTTCTGAAACTGAAAACGAACCCTTCATTCAGTAAAGCCTCCCAGAGATCTTTAATACGGTCTTTTAAGTCTATCAGCATCATTCCACACGATTTTGAGGCATGAGACATGATAGTTTCCTTTAGTTCTTGAATGTTCTCACAGTAGTTTGGGTTTGGCGGTGCCATGGGTGGGTTTCCCTCCCAGAGATGAGGAAAATACTTCACATCATTCTGAACATCAAATCTAATGATATCACTGAAATGTTCTGCATCACAGCCTTCCTCTTTAGCAGCGAGTTTTGTCATCTCATCCAGTGTCTCATGCAGTCGCCTCCTTCCCTCCATGTTTTTCTCTCCAGCTGTGACGTCTGAAACGTTCTGATGTACAAACACACAGCTGGGATTCAGTCTGACCTTCTTCATCCTCATGAAGGCCTGAACAACAATCTGAAGAATGTCCTGCATCTCAGATGGGTTTTCACCAAAAATATTGATCAATGTCATATTTCCCAGACCAACAACAAATGTAGCCAATTCATTGTCATGATCTCTTGTTGATCGTCCAGCCAGTTCTAGAGAACGAAGACCCTCAGTATCAACAACCAGAATATAGTCAAAGTTCAGTTGTGTTTTCATCTCATCTGAGACTCTGACCAGCTGCATGAAAGCTCCTCTGGTGCATCTTCCAGCACTGACGGCAAACTGGAGTCCAAACATGGCGTTCAGCATGGTGGATTTCCCAGAGCTCTGAAGCCCTAAAACTGACAGCACAAAGACTCTCTGGTCTCCCAGTTTCTGGATGAGTTGATCTAGAACAGCAGAGATCCAGATCACAGGAACATGAGCAGCGTCTCCATCCATCAGCTCCAGTGGAAATCCAGAGATCATCATCTCTGCTGCAAGACTCGGGAGAGAAGAGAAGTCTTTCAGGTCTTTCTTGTTCTTCTTCACTGATGAACATGATTCATAGATTTGTCCGATTTCCCTCATGATGTGCTCCAAACCAAAGGCTGCAGCTTGAAGATCCTCAGATATTTTCTCAAGTATAGTTTGATCAGTGTTAAGTTGTTCAGATTTATAATGGTTCTTTTTCAGCTTTATAACGGCTGACCACTTTTCATCATATTTGTGATGAAGGGCAGAAATATCTTGTGAGGTATGTGCATCCAGGAAAATTCCAAGCCATTTAAGAAAATACATCTTATTCTCAGCATGTGAGATAATTTCTTTAATAAATGACTGTATATATGTATTTATGTTAACTTTATGCTGCTGTTCCCGAAGTTCCTTCATTTGATTTCTTTTACTTTTTTCTATTTCTATCTCATCTGCTCGAGGTCGATGTAGTTCTTTGTTCTTCTGACTCCACTGATGCCACAGTTTCCCCTGATGAGGCAGAAATTATTCTTTGATTTTTGTCAGATCTTTATTCTCCAGTAAACTCATCATCTGCTGTGCTGCTTCTCTTCCTCTCCTGCAGTCATCATCATCTTCCTCATCTACTCTGATATCTGAGTGTTTGGACACATCTTCAAGTCTGAAAATGGAAGATGATTGTGAGAGACAATTATTTATAACTCTTCAGAGTTCTTCAGATACATCTGACTGATTTCTGTCTTTAAGACCAATCTTGTATTTGTCATTTTTCATTTCATTGACAGTAGATTTATCCTTAGTAAGAGCACAAATGAGTGGCTTTCTGTCCTTGTACAGGTTTTGTATCTTTGCTGCATGTTTGTCGTTCCTGTCCAGTTTTGGTAGAAGAACAACATTGACTGAGGCCATTTCAGTGAGGATCTGCAGCTGTTTCTCATGGTCTCCTGCATCACCGTGTAGATTACAGAACGCAATACAGTCAGTAAATTTATCCATATCCTTTCCAGAGGGCCAGAACCAGGCGATCTCCACCACTCCATCCATCAGGACTCTGGTTCTGCTGCTGCCTGGGCAGTTCCTGTGGAAGAACGTGTTGTGTTTCTCATTGATCAGACTGTTCATCAGCTGAGACTTGGATGAAGACACAGAGCCAAACCTGAAGAAAAACACCATTGGAGTTTCTGCCTTGTAGATCGGCTGGGTTTGACTGATGATTTCATTGTTGTTTCTCATCTTCCAGCTCTTCTTGACTTGTCTGAATGTCCAGAGAGGAAACTCAATCTGTCGTGTGAATGGATCAGGAACAAGCAGAGGCAGAGCGTACTGACACTGGGGCAGTTTAGTCACCATCAGCTGCTTCAGGAAACCATCAGCACAGTGAAACACGGCCATCTGAACATCCATTGGGTGAACAGGGTCAGACTGATTTGTTCCTTTTTTAGAGAAAGAGATGCTTTTAAGATCATCATCAAAAATATTACCCTCAACTTCTTTGTCTCTTTGTTGTGTGTGATCTTCCTCAGTTTTAATGTGTGTGTGATTGTTCTCCTCAGTTTTAATGTATCTTGCTCTGTAGTTCATCATCAGTAGTTTTGGTATGAAAGTCTGAATCGGCTCCTCTTCAGCACAAGACTCATGGGACTGTAATGAATGTTTAGTAATCTGAAGAAAATCTGCAGGGCTCAGTTTATTGTGGTGCCTGTCTTCAAGATGAAGTCTATGAAATAGCAGATTTTTTCCCTAAAGAATAAACAAATAACATTAAATTTACTTTGGTTTTAAAGAATAAAGTAAAGTAAAGGATCAGTGTGGTTGATTATTACATTTTAGTCATTATTACACACATGCTACAGAAAGATAAAAGATGACATTAGAACAGAGGTGGGCAAACTACGGCCCGCTGGGAGTTTTCATCCGGCCCGTGAGGAGGTGGTCCAAAATGGCTAATTTGATGCAATGTCAGTAAAATCTAATAGATGGCGCTGTTGCCTGTAGTGCGGTATATAACCCCTGATTTACACCGCACGCGTCTGTTCCGACGCGGCCACCGGAGCTGATCGCAGCCAGTCAAGTCAATGCTTGTTTTATACCAGCCGAGCCGCTACACGTTTCTGAAGCGTCCCAGAAGCGGCTCTCTCCGCCGCTTCGCTATAGGCGCCTAGTCTATTTTTGATGGACGCCGCAGTCAAGCCGCACAGCTCAAATAAAAAATAAAAATATACACTCTGTGCAAAACTGGCATAATTGTATCTTGTTTTAGTGTTACATATAAAATGTATGTGAAAGTGTTCATTCCCTTTCATGGGAACTTCGAACTGCGTCCTCTAGGGGTCGCTATGGGGAACACCTCGTCGTGACCCGTGTCTGAAGCATACATTGAAAAAACACCAACTCGTTGGCCGGCGACAGCCATGACGTCACTACCGGTGCGACTATAG